TTATGTCACGGACAGTTCTAGTCCCATTAAAGCTCCGCTCCACCTTCTCGGGGACTTTCATCTCGGGAAGTTTTATGACACTTCGCGAACGTGCAAAGTTTCTAATTAGGCTCCCCAGACAGCCCGAGGCGGCGGCAGCGCCACAGAGTCTTCACGGTCTCTCTGCTTCACAGCACAACAAGCCGCTCTATTCCTTTGAAGACAATGCGGACTACGTGTACGATGTCATGTGGTCCCCCGTGCACCCCGCGCTCTTCGCCTGCGTGGACGGGATGGGGCGCCTGGACCTCTGGAACCTCAACAACGACACGGAGGTGAGCGGCGCGCAGGCGTTCCCGGACGACCGACAACCGCGCCTCCCCCGCACACCCGACGATCAGTAGTCACGCCTTTCCCGCACCGGCATTTTCCAAAGCACGGTTGAGCAGGTTTACTGGCAGACACGGGAAATTAAGCTTTTGTGAACGGGGATTTTTAGGTTGGGCTTTCCAAGGGGGTTACGTTGTCAGCTTTTGCTATTTGGACAATTTCGATTTTTGAATCCACAAAAGACGTTTATGTTGACTATTTTATGTTTAGATCTCATTCATCTGATTTTATTTAATGGAGGTCTATATTTCCTGTGTAAGTTATTGAATTCAAAAGCAGGATCCAACTTTGAACATCTTTACCAAGCTCAATATTTAAAAACACCTTGAGATTTTTTAACATGTCTCATGTATAGTAGTTCACAGGTGAAAAATAACTTTTTTTTTTTTTTTTCCTTTTTGGTACCAGAGATCGAACTCAGGTCCTTGTACTCGTGAAGCAGGCAGCGGAACCACTGAGCTAAAACCCCAGCCTCAAATAACTATTCTTAAAAAGCAGTTGATAATAGATGTATTACTTTAAAAGCATGCCGTATTTATTGATTCGTTTTAAATATTAGTGCCCTGTGCCTGTTCTTTTTTCCAAGCTCAAAATTATTGAGGTGCTAATTCAGCTACTTGGGTTTGTTTGTTTTCTGGGGCTTTTTTCTTTACATGAACATTAAATGTCCTTCAGTTTTATAAATTTAAATGTCCTCTGCGTCATCTCCTGGTTTCTGATTCAGGGTAGCTCTCCATAAATACAAATCGGCAGGTAGAAGGAACAAGGGCTGCAAAAGTCAAGTAGAGAACTGAGAAAGGTCTTTTGAAGTGCTTTGAGCAGGAAACAGTTCAGCCTTTTTAATTAGGAAGCCTAGCGCTGAAGGATATGAAAGAAGAGCAGTCTCTTCCAGCATGGAGCGGCGAGGAGGAAATATCCCTCAGTTGTTACTGAGTCATTGTATCTTCAAGGGTATATATCCCTATAACCACTGCCAAACAATGATCTTTTCTATGTAAGTCTGAGTTCCCTTTTACCTCCACGAAATCCTTACAAGAAACAGTTATATATGGAGCATCTTTGAAACTAATCAAAAGGCATGAGTATGTAAAATGGCCATCATTTTGGATGTTGAAATGTTTATAACATTATTGCTTTTAATAGAAAGATGTTATTACCTTACATTATAATGGTTTCCCGAAGTCTTTCATCACTGCTGATTAAAATCATATTGCTTCTATTTGCTACAAGAAACTCACTTAAAGTAACCAAAAAAAAAAAAAAA